GGGGTCCTAGACCTTAGATGTCCCCTTTCATTGATTTCAGTGTTTCCTGCACTGTTGCCACCATCCACGATCCTGGGTTTGAGTGGGAGTAGAAGTGCTCAAAGATTTTGGTGGCACCTGATAGTACTTCTGCACCCATTTAGATGTGGGCTGAATGGTAGATGGGGCTTTCCAGAGCCACTTGATTAGCTCTAGTATGCCCTCATTTATGGGGACAAGCAATTCTGGCCCAGGCTGATGTGATCAAAATGTCAATTTATGTAATTTTTCTTATGACCTTGATTTCAACATCTAAAGTCTCAGCAATGAAATGCTTTAAAGTCATCAATCTTTGGAGTAGAAATGCTATGACTGCCTCATCAGGTGAGGATGACAACTAAGTGGAAACTGGAGGTGCTGTTCTTCCATGGCTCCCAGCTCCTGGGACCTAACCAACATTGGTAGCCTGGGCAGCGATGCTTCCAAGGAGCCTGATCTCCTCTTCCTGGATCTACAGGAAGGGATTCTGTTGTGGGACACCTGAGATGATGGTCCCTAGTAAGGACAGGGTGGCATGGTATATAGGTACTTGCTCAGTTGCGGCCGACTGGTTAAATGCCACTTTTGTCTGTTGTGATAGCACCCTGCAGGAGGGATCTCTAGTACAGGCTCTAGGATTGTGCTCAGAAGAGAGAGAGGTATCCCTACTCAACACTAGGGAGAAGGCATAATGTGATGACAGTGAAGAACAGTACTCTCTGAATAGCAATGCCCTGTGCTGGTGTCTTGGCCCTGGCTCTGGGTGCAGCACCAAAGATGTCCTCTTAACTGTTCCATGAAGGCATACATCAGTCCCATAATCGACACAGTGGTGTCTTCATTGGTGCTGGCTTACCTGGTACCACGTCCTCCTTTAACAGAGAACTCATATGCCCTGTCTTTGGTGCAGTGATGTCTCTTTTCCCTCCAGGATGGTGCCCCTTCTGTGTTTGGAGCCAATGCCATATCTGCGGTCCACCTGACCTACCTTTCAGTCTTGCCCTTGTATTGGGGTGCCAGTTCACATGAGGATGTCAGCATTGGAGGCATAGGTGCTGCGTCTGTCAGTACCAGCATCTGTAGCAACATCCAATGCCAGAGACTGAGCGCCAACGTGAACAGTGTCAATATGGCCTCTTTCAATTGTGTTTTCTTCCCTGCCTCTCCTTCCCTGCTGGACTTTAGGGTGTGCTGTCTGCTTGGAGGGGCTTTCACTGAGAACTATCATTTTGGTTCTTTGGAGGTGGATGCCAGGTGTGAGGTGACACATCCATTGTGTAAGTGTAACATCAGCCATGTGTACCTCGACTTGAGAGTTCTCACGGAGGACTTACACACTGAACATGTATCAGAGAAGTGGCTTTCCCCTAGACAGAGAATTTGCTGTGCCCATGGACCACAGGAATGAGCCTGTTGCTGGTGAGGCAGGGCTTAAATCCTAAGGGTTTCAAGTCTGCCACGGCAGTTGGCACAAGGCTCCTCATGCCTCTGTTCAGGGGGCATACCTTCACCTTTTAAGGGGAATGTCCAAGATAAAGAATTAACAAAGACCAAGGATGAAGACAGATTCTCTTCACAGAGCTAGTCAAGAGGATGAATTCAATGCTCAGAGAAGTACAGTGGGTTGGACATTTGACAGGGTTCCATCTTTATGACAAGCGGCAAGAGGGAACTGAGGGAGAGTCACGTCCACTCTGCTCTTTATGCCCTCACATGGAAGCACAAAAACAGCAAAGGGCACATGCACAGCCCTGATGTACACTGCAATTCAAAAAGAAAAATCTGATCTTACATGCATGGGATGCATGCACCCCTACAATAGGATCCAAACTGACATACTCAAACAATCCTCCAGAGGCTTGGGATGGACTAGATCCGTGGGCCCCCCAAACTACGGGATGCACTCCCCCAGGGGGGGGGCACCTAGGAATGTTCAGGGGGCTCAGCGGGTCCAAGCCAGCCCCCGCAGGGAGGGAGCATCACCCAGCACCATTCTGCCCCCAGCCGGGGCCATGGCTTCTGGCCCCGCCCCAACCACAGCTCCATTTCTGGCCTTGGCCCATAGCTCGGCTGCAGTTCCACACCTGGCCGCAGCTCCAGCCCCGCCCCCAGCCCCGACCACAACTCTGCTCCCAGACCCTGGCTCCCCCCAGGTGTGGGGGGTGAGGTCAAAAGTTTGGGGAAGAAGCTATGAAATCTCTAACATCTGTAGATGATAAAGATTGGTAGATGGCAAATGATGAAGACAGGTCACTGAGAGGAAAAAATCTGATATTTTAGTATGAATAAGTGTGAGGTTGTACAACTAAGAACAAAACACTGGACTAGATGGTTATTTAATCTCAAATATCAAGTATTAAACTGCTCCTCCAAAGATTCTGCTTGAGTATGTAACCAGCACAATCTACATCTAAATACCAAAAATTATTTTACCGTCACTCACAATAAGACAGTATTGTCTTATCTATTAATTCTCTCATGGAAGAGCCAACTGCTAATACAGCAAACAGCTACTAAGCAGCTCTGCCCATTTCAGCTCAGAAGCAGAATTTTTTTTTCTTAGCACAACATACTGACCCTCTAAAGAGCCTGCTTGACCCTCTGACCCCTCCCCCTCCTCAGAACAGCTTCAAAACTGGAAAAAAAGATAAAAGACGGACACACCACCTGGATTAGCTGAAATATGTTAAATGGTATTCTCACTGATGGACAAGACATAAGCTTTACTATTCTCTTACAAGTAGCCAGCTACCAATACAGATGATTACTAGGAAGTAGTATTTACAATCTTTTAAATCAGCGATTTGGAAGAAAATATGAAATCTCTGCTAACATCTGTAGATGACAAAGATTGGTAGATGTCAAATGATGAAGACAGGTCACTGAGAGGCAAAAATCAGATACTTTAATATGGGTAAGCGTGAGCTTGTACATCTAAGAACAAAACAATGTCGGACACACAGGGCTGGGATCTAGTCTGGAGAACAGCGACTCTGAAAAGGACTTGTGGGATATGGAACAGGAAACCCAGTAGTATGCTATGACAAAAAGAGCTAGTAAAAAGAACAGGAGTACTTGTGGCACCTTAGAGACTAACAAATTTATTTGAGCATAAGCTTTCGCGGGCTACAGCCTACTTCATCGGATGCATGTAGTGGAAAATACAGTAGGAAGATAGACAGATCTACACACACACACAGAACATGAAACAATGGGTGTTACTATACACAATAAGGAGAGTGATCAGTTAAGATGAGCTTTTATCAGCAGGGGAGAAAAAAAAACCTGTTTGTAGTGGTAATGAAAATGGCCCATTTACAGCAATTGACAAGGAAATATGAGGAACGGGGGGAAAAGGGGGGGAGAATAAGCATGGGGAAATAGTTTTACTTTGTGTAATGGCCAGTCTTTGTTCAAGCCTAATTTAATGATGTCCAATTTGCAAATTAATTCCAATTCAGCAGTCTCTCGTTGGAGACTGTTTTTTAAGTTTTTTTGTTGTAATATTGAGACTTTTAGGTCTGTAATCGAGTGGCCCGGGAGATTGAAGTGTTCTCCAACTGGTTTTTGAATGTTATAATTCTTGACGTCTGATTTGCGTCCATTTATTCTTTTACGCAGAGACTGTCCAGTTTGGCAAATGTACATGGCAGAGGGGCATTGCTGGCACATGATGGCATATATCACATTGGTAGATGTGCAGGTGAACGAGCTTCTGATATTGTGGCTGATGTGATTAGGTCCTATGATGGTATCCCCTGAACAGATATGTGGACAGAGTTGGCAACGGGCTTTGTTGCAAGGATCGGTTCCTGGGTTAGTGTTTTTGTTGTGTGGTGTGTGGTTGCTGGTGAGTATTTGCTTCAGGTTTGGGGGCTGTCTGTAAGCAAGGACTGGCCTGTCTCCCAAGATCTGAGAGTGATGGAACAGATTGACAGAGCCAGACGAGTACCCAGAAGTCACCTACTACAGGACAGGCCCAACAAAGAAAGTAACAGAACGCCACTAGCCATCTCCTTCAGCCCCAACTAAAACCTCTCCAGCGCATCATCAAGGATCTACAACCTATCCTGAAGGACGATCCATCGCTCTCACAGACCCTGCCAATTTGAGCTGGGGGGAAATTCCTTCCTGTCCCAAATATGGCAATTAGTTAGACCCTCAGCATGTGGGCAAGACCCACCAGACACCCTCGCCCTAAAGCTTATGCTTTCACTACTCTGGAGAAAGAATGGGGTTTTGGTGCTGTCCTGATATTTGAGATAGCTGCAGCGTGTGATTGTTATATTCTGTATGGACTGCTTTAGGGAGATGAAGGAACAAAAATGAGATCACAAGACTCATGGGGGGGATAGCTCAGTGGTTTGAGCATTGGCCTGCTAAACCCAGGATTGTGAGTTCAATCTTTGAGGGGGCCATTCAGGGATATGGGGCAAAAATCTGTCTGGGGATTGGTCCTGCACTGAGCAGGGGTTGGACTAGATTACCTCCTGAGGCCCCTTCCAACCCTGATATTCTAGGATTCTATGACTACTCAAGGAAGCAGATTTTTTGGAACACAAACCCTTGCGTGGATAATTACCTAGATGTGCACCCTCAGCCCAAAGAATTCCATCTCAATCTTGGTGGAAAGGAGTATTTGTTAAGTATTTTCCTAATGATCTTCTGGACTACACAAGAGTGAGATGACTGCACTGACTACAGCTCTTGCTACAAAAAAAGAATAACGATGGCACCACCACTCTCTTAAGAGGCAGGGTGCACTGAACAAAGAAAGCTGAATATTCCTGCTTCTGAGCTGAAGTAGGTCTAGCTACCTAGCTGCCCATCTGGATTGGCAATGTTCACATCCACAAGTTCACCAGTCCCAATGCATACTGTCACAGGGCACTCAATCATACCAGTGCCTTATCAGTTGTAATGACTGGCTAAATAAGTTTGTTTCATTAGCTAAATTCTCTCTTTGAGCAGCAAGTTCATACCCTGGCTTCCAGAAGCGTGACATCCATCCCAAAACTCTGCAACTGGCGAGCTGCAGCCAAGCCAGAGACTCCAGAACCTATAATGATCACCTTGCCAGTCTTCTTAGCTAGAGAAATGAAAGCATAAGTTACAGGATAGACGTGTGTATTGGTGCAAGCCTAGGAGTCCAAGCTCAGTTTTAATCCTGAAATTAGTAAGGATGGAAGTCTATTTTAAAACAGTCTAATAGTAAAGTCTAATAGTAAAATGTAGCTGTGATTGCTTCATCACAGCTAGTTGTTAGCAGGAAAATTTTGTATAATTCTGAATTAAATATAATCAGCACTTAGTAGCCAGCAGAAGTTAATGATGAAAAGAAAATGCAGGTAAAGCACAATCTAGGTAGAAAGTCAACAGCAACAGTCACCTGAATAGAGACCCTAGATTGCACGTTCACACAAGGGCCAGCAGGATACCTGTAACCAGGAGGGATCTCCCTATCAGACATTTCCACTCTGGGGAAAGAGGCAGTTCCAGGAGGAGTGGGCAGCTGAGCAAAGAAATCAACTCATTTGTCATTCTGAAGGAAAGTGTTTTGGTTCCTTCTCTCTTTCATGGAGGAATTGGAAGCACTGGGCAGGGCTGGGTCAGATGTTTGTTTGAAAGTGCAATCTGCAATCTATACACATTGATCTGCATCAGGACAAGATGCAGACTTACAGGGACACTGAGGTGGTTTCGGTTTAAAAGGGAAAGTTATTTTTAAATATGAGATCTTCAAAGAAGCCACAACAGTCTTCCTCTTTGGCTTGTGCTCCCAAGCAAAACTCACATTGCACTATGATTTGTGCACCTCTGAGGTAGTGTGTCAGTGGAGGTGAATTAGCACAACATCCCTCCTTTGGACAGGTCAATCATGTATCACCTGTCAGCTACAACACTCTCAGCTTCCTCGAACCTGCCAAGCAGTCCCTGAATTATGCAGGAAGTGGGATCCCCAAAAGCAAGGCAATCAGCAAAATATTTTGTTGAAGTATAAAAACAACAATGCAGCGTAGAGAAAACAGAAGAGAAAAACACTTAGCGCAAGATCCTCAAACTGAGGAGAAACCGTGAGTAATTTGAGAGGTGACACATAAGGGCTTGTCTACATATAAAATTGTATTGCTTTAACTATACTGGTATAGATAGAACCTCCCCCCACCCAATGAGGTGGTCTTTAAAGGATTCTATTAAAAAAATAGAAAAGCTATACACAACTTCATAGAACTAAGGAAAATGTTTCTTACACAATAAAATTAGAATTTATTTCTCAGTCACTTCACTGGGACTAAGACCATGACAAGTTTGGAAGTTTTAAATTCCAAGCGTTACATACAAACAATAAAATCTGAAATATTCATCGCGAAACATTTTTTACTCCAAAGAAACTCAAATACAGGACAGGCAGCACTTGTATTGTAGTGATGAATGACAGAAATATCTATAAATATAACATCTTCAAACTTTTCAGATAATTTAGCTTTGGGCTGAGAAAAAAATGCAAAATTTTAGCCCAAAAGGAGAATTTTGGAAGCCAAATCAAGAATGCCAAACAGCATGCCCTTCTCAAGCCTTTACTAGTATTCCAATATCACAATGCTAAAAATAAGGTACATTTTGGGCCCACAGATCACAGAAAAGAATAATTATTTAATTTGAAATCATTGGTAAACCTACTTGGTAGAGGCTTTACCCTTTTGTAGATACCGAAGTTGATTAGACCATGACGCTCTAGATAGCTATGCACTCTGTGAACTAGCACAGTGTCACCTACAGAATAAGAAAGATTAAATAATTATGTATTTTAATTACTCTTTATATTAAAACAATCTATAGTGACATTTACCGGATGGCCTAATGGATTTACATAGGATGAAGAAATATTTAGACTGATGCCTACCTTTAATATAACTAATCACACCCACACCACCCATGTGCATCACCGTAAGAAACCATTTACTGCACAAATTTCACTCCCCACTTTGATTCTCTAGATGAAGAGTGATATAGCTGCTCTGCATGGCCCTGCAGGACCCACAGCACTAGGAACCAAAGGGATCATCTAACTCTTCCTTGATTATCCAGTGTGCAGTGCAGCTGCCTACCGGCATTAGGGAGGCACCTTTGCCTTGCTGCCATTCAGCACTTGAGCACTCCAGACAGTGTGAAATGTATTTTTAAAAGACTAAATACATTTTTTGTATTTGCAGATGTTTGATTGGGGAACTGGGTCCAGTCATGGTGTTACAGGCAGATGGTGTTACAGGTCTCTCTTCCTTTTCACGTATTTTTGCTAAGTTACGTGACTCCAATTCAAGTTAATTCTTTTCTGAGGTTCTATCATTCACAGTTCCCCTCTACTCCAGACAAACCAAGAGAGCAACCAGCACTGTCTGACTTTCACTAAACTCTCCATGTAAGCATGTTCAAGCATGTCCTGCCTCTCCACGCTTTCTGTATACTGCTTAAAGACAGTGCTCACCTCCTTACTTTTTTTTTTTTATTTTATTTCAGGTGCCGTGACTGTGATGGGCAGGGAAGGATGGGTGCCTTGGGATGTTGGTCCCTTCTTTTTATAGTGTCAGTCCCCTCTTGAAACACATTTCCAGCTGAGATTCAGGAGACAGATGTAAGGATGTTCCCTGCTGGTTGTTCTCCCCTGTCTGAACTTCCATATTCCATACAGTATCACAGGGGAGACAAAGGGAGACACTTTATGATATTATGGATACTAATATTGTAAAATTGCAATGAGTCGTGCCAGATATGCCATGTAGGGTATCTGCAAAAATGTTACAATTTGCCTAGTGTGATAATTTTTATATGTTTTTATCACCTTTGTATTATAAGTTATAGATAAGTAGGGTATATAGCTGTATTTCAAACTTGTGCGGTGCATCTGGGTGACACCCTCAGACAGAATGGCATCGGCACTGCCTAGCCTGCTTGATGGTTCATCAAGAGACATCAGCTGTACAATAAACCCATTGAAAAACCAGGGACTACACCTGATGAGTCAGCAAGCCATGTAGGGGCATGCCTAAGGACAAAGAATTCTAAGGCTTTTCCATGTGCTGTGAAGTTTGTGTTTGAGACACAGGAAGTATAAGCCTCATGGCAAAAGAATATAAAAAGCAATTACATCATCTCCATTTTGTTTCCAATCCTGCTTCTTACCTCTGGAGTACCTTTTCTACAAACAGCAACAGAGGGTCCTGTGGCACCTTTAAGACTAACAGAAGTATTGGGAGCATAAGCTTTCGTGGAAGTAAGGTTCTTACCCACGAAAGCTTATGCTCCCAATACTTCTGTTAGTCTTAAAGGTGCCACAGGACCCTCTGTTGCTTTTTACAGATTCAGACTAACACGGCTACCCCTCTGATACTTTTCTACAAACGAAGCTCTGAAAAAAGGACCGAATGACCCATCCAAGCTGTGGATTGTTCCAGTGGGACTTTTAAACCAGCAAACTCACCAATACTGCTAAGAACCTGATGTATGGACTTTGATAGTCTCTATGTGTATTTGATTGCTTTATCATTCAACAACTCTCTTCTTGTTCTTTCTTTATAATAAACCTTTAGTTTTAGACACTAAAGGATTGGCTGACAGCGTGGTATTTTGGGTAAGATCCAACCTGGCAATGTGGCTGGTCAGTACTGATTAGTGAGCAGAGTTTTAAAATAACTTCTCTCTGTACTGGAGCTAGGTGCTGATTGGGAGCCAGAGAACTGGAATGCAGTACGGGGCTGTGTGATTCCTTTATTCATAGAATCATAGAACTGGAAGGGACCTCGAGAGGTCATCTAATCCAGTCCCCTGCACTCAAGGCAGGACTAAGTATTATCTAGACCACCAACTGGGGTGAAGGGTGGACCAACCATGATATGATCGTCACTTTATCATCCTCTGTTCCTAGAAGTACAGAGACTCAATAAATTGTTCTGACTCCCAATTCTTTCAAGAGGCAATCACTGTTTGAATCCAATTGCTCTTCAACCTCTTCACATGCTGAGTAAGTGTTCTGGGAATGTGCGTGTTTTGAGGTCACATGTTTTGAGGTAGCTGGTGCCACAAATGGAGATGGTAGGGGCTCAAAAATCTGGATCAGTACATATCATACTTATGATACTGGGAGCTCCAAACAGGCTCAGTGTCAGGAGTAAGTTGATGTTATGATAACACATTCAAGGTAGAAAGGTATGTGCTGCTGCTAATACCACTAGTGCAACCCTTGACATTTTCCACCTCAGCTGCAGTCAGATAGAGGTCACTGTGGGATTTGTGTCTAAACTTAACTTTTCTGAAGTCAAGGCCTGCTCTCTCAGATCTGGAGCAGGGAAGTTCATGAGTTAATTCAAAACTACATTATGCAGCTTGTTGTGTTTACAGAGCGAAGAAACTGTCTTCAGACTACAGCAAACTACAGCTGCAGAAGTGAACTGTTCTAGTCAAAGGTGGACAAGGAGGCAGCAGTAGAAACAGTTGCTAGTAAAATGTCTTAGAGATTCAGAACTTTGGTCTTGGAACATTCTGGCCAAGCCCCAGAGGAGAAGTAGAAATCCAAGTGGGGGATTTCTTACTCTTACTCTGAGAATTTTCCAATGACCGCATATATTCCACAAACATCTTCCCACTATAGAGGAAGATTACATTTCTTACTTTAGGAATCAAATTCATGCAGTGTGGATATATTCATGTTTAAGATTCACTTCGGCACAACTGGCAAACCACTGAAAACAGCAAACTCTGTAAAATACGAGATTCTCTCTAAATTAATTTTTGCTTCTCTTTCATAAGATAAATTAATCTCTAGACTGAAGTTACTCTGTGAGGAACTGTAACTTGACAAAATTAACTTTTGTTTGGAAACATTCAGAAAGTAATTTTAGAAGTGCTCCCACATCTGATTTAAACAGCTGTCCAATAAACATTCTTCCCAATTTTATATTCAAACACCCAATGGACTCCACTTTCCTAGTCAAACATTATGGTTCTAAGAACTGAAGAAATAATTGTTTGGGACTTGGTTGAGGGTCATCTTGATCTGAAACAGCTTTCTCAGCACAGACTGACAAACAGCAGCAATGAGGTTTCACTGAAAAATTGTCAACTTACTGTTATAAGGTGCTTCTAGTTGTTGAAGAGTTGCCTCGAATGTCAGCTGAATCTTTGGGTTGTCCAACCAAAGTTGCAACTGTATTTAAACAAAAACGGTATGTATGTATGTATGGAGAGACAAACGCACACACACACGGAAAAAATCTTTAATGTTGCAATGAAGTTTCAACTCATAAGAACTCAAAAGAAGAATTTAAGTTTTTGTAGTGCTGTCACATAGCCAAGTAATAAATAATGCGGATTTATCTATTATACCTTTCTGATATTCTTAAAGTATGATTGAATGCAATGCTTTATTTCCCCACGATTTCAAATAAGACAAAACACATATAATCATTGATCTCCCCATCCTATTTACAAGAAAGCCTATGAAAAACACATTAAGGTTGCAAAATGGAAGAGCCACAACACTTTCCAAAATAAATGATTACATACACACAAGCATACCAAATTAAGGTTGCATAGGTATTTCCCAACTTTTGAGTTCTTGACTTTGCAACCCCAGCATCCTTCCAATGTAGTTTCTTTGTAACATTGTGTTTATATACACACACATCACATATGTTGTAGTGCTATCCATGCAATCAGCTGCGAGGTCATATGATAAACTGCATTTAGCTTACACCTTTAGCCATCTCACCTACACTCAGAACACTAATCCATATCCACTGAAATTAATAACATTCCAGATCTGATTTAACATTACACACAATCTTAAAAAAAACATTACAGTTGCAGAGCCAAGCACTCAAAAGTGCCAGAATTAAGCCCCCTTGCGCATATGTATTATGCTAATCTTTAGTTACATGATCCCATACTACTTTTACCACAAGACCAATCTCATTCAGTGCACAAAATGAACAGTGCTTACTTAATGAGCAGCTATTCAACATTGTTTTATCCTCATTGTTTAATGTGTAACACTAATCCTTATTTACTGCACACTAATCAAACTCTGCTGTGAACACAATTATTTTTCCTCATGAGTTTTTTCTATAGCTTTCATAGAGCTGAAAGCTTCTCTCTCTTGCCAACAAAAGCTGGTCTAACAAAAGATCTCTCACCCACCTTGTCCCCAAGGGTTTCAAGTCAGACAGCCCAAAAATGAGGATCATACAACTAGTGACCACCTATGCAAAGTTTGGTTTAAGTGACTGCCCAGCATCCAGAGCAGCATTCCCATCCCGTGTCACCTCCATCCCCAAGCTCATGGTCCGAGTCTCCTTGTCCAGGCAGTCTCAGTCTCACCCCCACCAGCTCCCAGTCTCCTTGCCATTCCGGTGCCTCAGCTTCCCCATTTTTACAAACAGGGATAAGAAGACTAAGGTCCATTCTGAAGTGCTTTGAGATCTAAAGATGAAAAGCACGGTCCTAATCTTTCCCTATCCACCCAGTTTCTCCCCCTTTCCAGATCATCTAACCAGACTTCTCTGTCTCAATCTACTTCCTGGTATGGTTTTCATTCCCTCTGCATTCAAGTCAGAGGGTTTCCTCCTCCATGATGTCTGGGTGCAAGCGGGGGGGAGGGGGAGAGAGAAAGAAAGAGGAGAGCATTGAGAGTACAGGAGAGATTGGCACCCTGCTTTCAGTTTCAGTGGCCGGCCCACTCTGGAGCAGCTGGAAGCAGCCATTACATGGAAAGTCTAGCTTTGCCCCTGTAGCCCTGGCCTCTGAGAATGGCACACGAACAGTCTGGTCACCAACTAGGAGCTGTGAGGGGTTCAAGTATGCTCAGCAACGACAGAATTGGAGATTTAACTGTTACAATTAAAGAAATCTCTGATCATGCACAAACTGCAATATTTCAAAGACTTATAATTTCAGCAAATTTAGACAGATTTTCAGAGACAGCAAGAAACACATCCCTGACACACAGATCACCTGCCATCCCTGCCAAATGTCAAATCCCTTCGTCAAAGCATGCAGGTGCTAGAACTGTTCAAAGAAAAAGTGACAAGTATGCTTTAAAATGAGCAAAACATTTTTCCCCAGCATGGTTCTGCTAAAGCTGAACTGCTTTAGCGGAAATTTTCCCAAAAGAATTTCGAACACTTGGCATGGAAAATTTCAGCCCAAATCGTTAAAGTTTTGCAAAGTTATAAGCAACTGAAAACAGTCTTATAATTGGAAATGTCAAGCAACCTTAACAAAGGCAATACTAATAGCCCTACAATACCTACTCATGATATGTGGGAGTCAAGAGTATGAGGGTCTAATTTGTCCCCTCTTTCTCATTTTATGCTCTTTGTATGCATTTTCTACATAAGCATTGGGAAGTGTCACTTCTCTCACAGAAGCAATGTCAAGCCATTTTTTAGGTTCGCTATTGTGGGAAGGCTTTAGCTCTACGGCCCTAGTTTTATGTAAAGTTTTATGTAAAACATTCAGTTCAAAATAGTAGCACTTCACAGAGACTGCACACACTTTGCACGGATGTCGAAGTGCAGGACAACAGAGAAGCAGGATCCAAAACTGAAAAAATCCAAGCTTTTCCCAATTTCTAGATCTATTTGGTAGCAGGACCAAGGGTGTGCTTTTTACACCAACATTTGTCAAGAGAAAGTTGCAACCTTATTTTGGATTTAGACGTTGACACAGTTAGTTTGGTCTGTCATCTGAAGATAGAATTACTAAATGGGGCTACATTTGAAGTCCACTTGGAAGTTTCAGCTAGCAGCAAATGCCCACCTGTTACTTCATACAGGTAGCACTTTACACCTGTGCTCCATGGTCTGCATTAGTCTCCAGTTTGTTCCTAATTAAAATATAAGATGTTGGTCTCAAGCTACAAAGCCCCAACTGGTTTGGGTCCTGACTACATGAGACACCGATCCCATCCAGTAGTACTGCAGCAGAATTCCCAGTCTAAACAAGAGGAAGCTGACATCAGATTTGTCAGCAGGGAGTCCTCAACTCTGAAGTATCAGAGGGATAGCCGTGTTAGTCTGGATCTGTAAAAAGCGACAGAGTCCTGTGGCACCTTATAGACTAACAGACGTATTGGAGCATACCCACTTCGTATTCACCTACGAAAGCTTATGCTCCAATACATCTGTTAGTCTTAAGGTGCCACAGGACTCTGTCGCCCTCAACTCTGAAGTTTACTTCCCTTTTCCCAATCCAACAAAAAGTTACTTAAAAAAAAAACCCTTGATGACATACTGCAGAACCCATCTTTCCCCAAGGTTTAATGAGATATGAAAGTGCAAGCGCGCCCACCTTTGTGTAGGGGATTTGTGATGGGTGGAGATATTGTGGAAACATGAGCATATGCTGTTTACACATTCCAAATATTCTAGCAGTTCCTCTGTATAATTTGTGGAATTAAACAGACTATGTGATGGCCATCCCAAACTCACATGAATAAAATCCTTAGGATATATTATGTATTCTCTAGTTCCAGTTCATTTGCAAATTTGACACCATCAGATCAGGATTAAACAAAGACTGTGAATGGCTATCCAACTACAGAAGCAGTTTCTCCTCCCTTGGTGTTCACACCTCAACTGCTAGCAGAGCATCTCACCCTCCCTGATTGAACTAACCTTGTTATCTCCACACTGATTTATACCTGCCTCTGGAGATTTCCATTACTTGCATCTGAAGAAGTGAGGTTCTTACCCACGAAAGCTTATGCTCCCTATACTTCTGTTAGTCTCAAAGGTGCCACAGGACCCTCTGTTGCTTTTTACAGATTCAGACTAACACGGCTACCCCTCTGATATATGGCTACTGAAGCGAGTTTCATCAGCCTAGCTGCCGCCCCCCTCCTCCCCACACACACACACACACAGTCTATTGGGACACTGGATATTCTTCATCACAATCCTGAGGGACGTGCTAGCCAGACTAGGCCATAGAGAGGAATCCAGATGACATTACCACCCCTACCCACCTCCAGATGAAGCCCAAAAACCACTTGAGATAAAACAGGATCAAACTAACAGCAGGGGGTTGGACTAGATGACCTCCTGAGGTCTCTTTCAACCTTAATCTTCTATGATTCTAAGCACTTCCTTGTTGTATCTTTTCTGATTCTTCACTAAAAGCTTAAAAGGATTGTTCATGGTGTTTTTGCCATGGTACTAAGCAGACTGAGGTCTCTGTATAACAAATCCCGAACCTAGTTTAACACTATTTATATTGGACAGTGACTAAGTTACCTTCAGCCCATTTATTCCATCTAAATTAATACAACAGTAGGCAGCAGGAGAGATCACATGATTTTTCCATAATATTTTATCGGTTATCTTTTTCTCTTCAGCTTTTGTAAGTGGACTGCATTCAGTATTCTCACAAAATGTATTTCCTAGCATTCAAGAACTCTCTCTTGGAATCAGATAGTGTAGAACTATCATTTTCAATATTCTGAGTGGACTGAGCTATGGGTTCAAGCAATGAAATTGAGTTTTGCAGCCAAAGGACAGTCATCAAGAAGATCAGTGTGGATTACGTGGGGGCAACACACAGCTACCCTTCCTCAACAGAGGCTGGCTGAGGAGCCTGCTTTTATATCTGAAGATCTGAGACATTTAATAGAAGATGCCCACTGAATACAACGAGGGATTATTCAGTGTGGATGAAACTGAGTGGTGTACTAAATGATGATGGAAATTACTATTTGTTTTTGAAAAACCAGACAATGCTTTTTACTTTTGACAAGTGATGAGAAAATTGCCAGATCTTCAACATCACCGATGAAGAGATGCATTGTATGGGCAGCACACCCATAACACAGAAGTTGTTAGATACCAAGCAGCTTTCATATTAGCTGCATTGTTAATACCCCAAATCTTCCATGGACTTAATTCATGGATTATATTTTTAAACTGATCAGTACTATATAGGACTGTTGTGACATTCCAGTGCACAACTGAGTGAATAAAATACTGGTTGTGGAGTTGTCAATCTCATAGCGAATGAACTCCATACATCCAGACACTATAGAAATGGGAGGAGTTTGCGAAATCAGAACACCAACTCACTTTTTCACATTAACCACTTCAGCACCCAGAAGTCTTTCTGCAAGCAGTTTCCTACTTGGTACTTTGTAAATTGTATGCAACTTATAAAAAA